AGCAGATCCCCCTGCAGGCAAGCCATCACTGGCAGAAACAGAGAGCCCACCTGGCCACAGCACCCACCCTGCTGCCACCGAGCCCCGGCACGGCCAGATAGGTTGGAGTTTTTTCTTGTAGCGGCGTGTGCTGTACAAGCAAGAGTGACCTACTATCAACCCCCGGCGGAGCTGAGCTTGGCACATTAAACCGCACCTAGTGCATGGCCCTCTCCTAACGCTTGTGCTTCCCACGCCTGCCCCTAACCACTGCAGAGCTGGGCCGGCTGCGGGCATCGAGGGCGCAGGCAGGAGCCCGCAGATGCCTGCGATGCAGGCGCTCGTCGCAGCGATACCAAAGCTGGCTGACATTTCCCTCGCTGCACTTTAAGCCCATGATTTCTCCTCTGGGCTGTGGACATGGATAAGATTTTTAACACCCAGGCCCCTTTCAGCACCCGCAGACCTCTTAAAGGCCCTTTATCCTCCACCCTCAGAGTCCTCCAGACCCCTATCTCTCCTGGTGCACGGGCAGGACACTGCCCGGGCTGGTGGGTCTCTTGTCCACCAGCCCTTGCCTCGTAGGGAAGGTGTGAAGAGCTAATTCAGACCAATGAGCTGCCAAAGCACCAGCTCTGGCCACGTTCAGTCAGTGAAAGGCTAGCTAAGGAAAAGGGACACCCCCCACCATGATTTCCTAGAAACGCTTGTGGACTTTGGCCCACGGGTTGGGCAGCGACCTTTGGACACAGCTGAGTCTTTTTCTGCTTTCATCTGTAACGTCCCAGCTCAAAAAGTTCCCATTTGTGCTGAAAGGGAAACCCACTTTGGTCTCTGTGGCTTTACTTGGCAAGTCAAAAGGTCTTCCCCAGCCCAACACTCGGTAGACACTCAACACGGTCCCAGGGCTTGGCAGTGCCCGGCTTGGCCCAGGTATCCCCAGCCCAGCCAGCACACGTCTGTCCCCAAACCCCCACTGAAGCCTGACCCAGCTCCTGATACCAAAAAGCACTTGGAGCTGCGCGGGGCCCTTGGTGCGCCAGCACCTCCAGGGCGAGGACACCTGTGTCTCCCCATCTCGGGGACACCGGGGTGCCTACCCCAGGCAGACACAGCTGCCTCATGCTCCCAGAGCCTGTCACGGAGCCATGGGGCCCCCAGGGCCCCCCCAAGCCAGGGCCCCACGCAGAGGGCTCCAGCCTGATATGGGGGCAGAGGTGGGAGAAGCGGGAGGGAACGATCCTGCCGGCAAAGGCGAGGCAGCCAGGACGGTTCAGGCTGGCCGGTCTCTCAAGAGCCAGCCCCAGCCTCGCACATCCTCATGTCTCTGGCTCACTGCATAATTTTTGGGGGGAGTGGACAGACAGAGAGGCAGAGCAGAGTGCGCCTGCAGTCAAAGCTTGGCCCTGGAGGAGCTGCAGCTGCTGGGGGAAGCGCCGGGGCAGGCAGGGGCCCCATCGGGCAGCAGGTGCCGCGCGTGCTCGTGCTACGCCCCAGCGCTGGAGCCCCTTCCAGGCATGTCCTTCGCATTCCCCGCGAGCGGCCGGCCGAGACACGGC